CTTCCGCCGCGCCCTAAAGACATGGCTCTTCCAACAAGCGGGATTGGCCTAGGGGAATTTTAGTGGGGTTTTAAGAGTAATTTTAATTGACATAGGCCACAGTAAATATTTCTTTTTAATTAGGTTTTAAACTGGGTATTTTTATTGTTGTATCTGTTTTATAAGGCTGTCAGCCGCCCTGAGTCCGTAAGGAGAAGGGTGGGATAAAAATTAAATAAATAAATAAATAAATAAAAAATCATAATGCAACAAATATAACTACTAACATAAATAGTGGTGACACACTTGAAAATACAGTACTATTTCAAAATTTAATCCAAATTTCTTAGAAGTTATAATCACAGCTAAATTTCCATCCTGAAGAATACTTGTTTTCACTCTGGAAAGTTTTAAGTCAAATAATTTCATCAAAACACACTCGTATCTTTTTGAATTACAAAAATGTTGCTTCCAAAATAGAGAAGGGCTGGGCTAAAGGAGTATAACTCTATTAAGATACACAGTTAAGGTATTAATTTATTTAAATCACTTACTTTGGAGCTGAAGGACCTCTAGGCCATGTTCCATCTTCATTTTTTTGTTCTATCACTAATACCTATATGGAACAAAAAGGCAAATATGAACTTCATCCAGTTTAGAATAATGGAGCATAACTTATATTTACAGGTAATCCTTGACTTATGACCATAATTGGGCCCAAAAGTTCTGTTGCTAAGTGAAACATTTAAGTGAATTTTGCCCCATAGTATGACCTTTCCTGCCACAGTTGTTAAGTGAATCACTGCAGTTAAGTTGGTTGTTAAGTGAATCTGGCATACCCATTGACTTTGCTTGTGACCATGGGGATGCTGCAATGGTCATAAGTGTGAAAAAGTAATAAGTCACTTTTTTCAATGCTGGTGTAACTTTGAATATTCGCTAAACGAACTATTGTAAGTTGAGGACTACCTATGCCCACCAGCACACTGAAGCATGGACAAATGATAGATTTTCAATTACGCCAGTATTATGCATCTTAACATTTAAAACGTACCCATTTAATTCAGATCAAAAACTGTATTTAAATCATTCTAGAATGTTGGTAAAGTATCATTTTTGGTACACAGGTAGACCTCACTTAGAAACTCAGATAGTTACCATTTAAAGTTACAATGTTGGTGAAAAAGTTACTTTGCAACTAAAGCCCACAATTATGATCTTTGCAGCATCTTTTTCTCTATGTTCACCAATAGAGTCAGTTAGTATACATTGTTCTGTGTCTGACCCCTCCCCCCCCAAGCAGAGAGATTGTCCAAATAAGCTATCTCTTCCTGAGCTGTTTTTCTTTGCAGGGAAATATTTCCTAAAAAGTGCTAAGCACAAAAATAATAAGCTCAGTTGTTAGCTTAACTCAGTGGTTCTCAACCTTTTTAATGCTGCGACCCCAACCGGTCGTAAGTCGAGGACTAAACCGGTCGTAAGTCGAGGACTAAACCGGTCGTAAGTCGAGGACTACCCAACCGGTCGTAAGTCGAGGACTTTCCCTGCCCGGGAGTGCTGCGCATGCGTGGTTCCGCCCCCTGCGCCGGCCGAGGCGTAGCTGGCAAGTGGCAGAGACGGAGCAGGCCGACCACCAGCTGGCCCAGCCCAAGGGAGGTAAGGCACCCGCCGGAAAAGGGGGAAAAAATGGCGGACAAAAGAAATGGCGGACAGCCTTGCTTGGCGACCCCCATGAAATGGTCGATCGACCCCAAATGGGGTCCTGACCCACAGGTTGAGAACCATTGGCTTAACTAATTCATTTGCAGCTGCTGTTTGTAACTGACAAGACTCTAAGCAGTTTCAGAGCTTTAATTTTTGTCTGCCTCCTAAGTAGCTGAAGGCTTTAAGTATCAACATACCACATCCCTTTCAAAGTGGATTCCATATTAAGTGCCTCGTTTTGGCCAATTGTGCTCACTAAACAGGGACCACCTGTACTTTTGTTTGACACGTGTATAGGAATAATTAAACATATGAAGCACAAGCAGTATTCAGATTAAATTTAACCAAAGGATTTTAATTTCTTGTATCTTTTCAAAACTGTTGCAGTGTATAACATATACAGATAAAAACACTTGTTCTTGCTTTATTTTACTGTTAGATATTCTTCCTTTCAATCCTTTGCATAGTTCTCACTTTAGTAATTTGGTTTGTTTCATGAGATTATTTAAGCAAAAGTATATAGAGAACAAGAAACAGGAGATTCTAGATGGCAGCATGCAAGCTACTATCAGTCAACATAAAGTGAATAATATATTTTTAAAATGTAGAGTCAGAAATATATATCATACCTGTCCCTGGTATAAGCCAGCATCCTGTATGGTACTGTCTGGTTTATTCAAAGGTTCAAAGGTATTACTCATATATTTGTTCCACAACCTTGTTTCTTTTTCATCTGGAATACTGAAGGTTTTCCTTATCTCTTTTTCAATTGTATCTACATGTACAGAAAAACATTAATATTTATTTTAAAGTACTTTAATTCTAGGTAGCATACGATAACAAAGCAAAGAAACGCACAATAATATATATAATATAAAAACTTAGATCAAAATTATCAGTTTAAAGATTTGCAATCAAAACCCAAGACACACACCTGCCAATGTCTAAAGGCTGTAAGGTTCTGAATGAAAGAATATAAAGTTAAAATTGAATTTTAGCAAGACATAATTGGTGTTTGTTCTTTGGGGGAGTCAAGTAGTTCCAGTGATGACTCTTGATAGGAAGCACTACCAGCTGCTTGAAAAACAGGCAGAGGCTGTTCTATGAGGACTTTGCCATAGGGACTCCTATCTACTTCTCACAGATTACTGCAAAGCACTTTATGTAGAGCTGCCTTTAGAGACCACTTATTATCTAGCATTTGTCAAATGGAACACATTACAACTGTGTTCTACATTGGCTTCCTATAAGTTTTGGGTTCAATTTGAACTGTTAATGTTTACCTGTGCAGCTTATACTTTTAGAACCATGTTCATCTGCTTGATTTAACGCAACCTATTTGATCTTGTCAGGAAAAATAACTGAAAGTTACCCACTTCTAGGTTGTGAGAGGGGCCAAGGCATAGAAGTGCTACTTTTCTGTAGCAATGCTGATCCTCTTGAATAGTCTCCACTGGAAGTCAAATTAGCCCTGGCTTTAGTACTTTGGGCAACCGGAGCTTTTCTGGAGGCATTTACAGATGCTTGTTTTTTGGATTTTCTGTTAGAATGTAGGTTATTTTGAATACTGTATTACTGTGAAACCACAGGGAGTCCAATGGAAATGTGGCAATGTAAAATGTGATAAATAATGTAAACAAGTCTCTATGACTGTCAGTGCCTGTGTCTCAAGTATACTTTTATGACGTTAGAGTAAATTTGCTGATTCAATATTGTCATTACAAACAAAAAAGAATTTGAAATTAAAAGACACTTTAAAGAAGTTTGCAAATGATTTTGATAGTTGACCATAACTTTTAACATCATTATTTTTAAGTAATAAGTTCAGTCATTTGTTTTAGTGAAATAAAACTATTTGAGCTTTAGACTTCATTTAGAGTTGTAAAAGCTAGGGCATGAACTATTAAAGCTTGTTTAGAGTTATGTAGAAATTCAGTCAATGTCTGAAAGAAATTATGTTATGCATTTCAGATGGAAAATTTAATTTTTGTGGGCTAAGGTGCTTTCATTTATGTTAGAGAAAGGTTTTCCACTTATGGTCAAATAAGAAAAATTTATTGAAAAAATATTGAAAAATTAATGCAGGCAATATGCTTTCTAAAATTAAAAGTGTAATGTTTGGGATAATTTTAATATATCAAATTCAATAATTAATACAGTGATATACCATAACATTTATTTTATGGAAGCAATGCATGACAAATAACTTATTTTTAAAAGTAATTTAGCTACATACTTATAAGAAATTTCTGTGGTCATACCTATAGTATCAGCTTTACTAAATCTTCGTGTCACTATATTGTTCATATTTCCATTTTCACATAATTTCAATTCTGTCAAATAAACTTCTACCTTGCAGTGCTTGACAAACATACCCTGTTCAACTACCTGGAAAATAAGCAGATCAAAACTGAATGGAATATATACATTCCTAAATATATAATACACAATTTTCAGATGTTCAACCTTTATTTTAGAATTAGATGCTTTATAAGCCATATAAGGTTGTGAATATTATATCAAAATTTAATTTCCACTTTAAACATAGGCTTATAATAAAAGAAACATCCTACTTTTTAAAAAATTACTATTCACGCTAGCAACATAAATAGCTTATTGGCACTAGATACCAGCAATATTTTTGAAATTGGATATATGAATTTCAATTTATTTAGGAAAACAATCTTAACTTTATTCTTTAATATAAATTACTAATAGCCAACAAAACTTGGAAACTGAGGTAAGCAGAATGTTCACAATCACCTCTTGTATACTTCCATCTGATCTTCTATGCTGTTACTGCATAAATCAGCCATGTAGACTGTCCTGAAAATAGCCATCAGCTTGGTATGTGATTCATCAAATAAGCAAAAAAGGAAGTACCAAATAACTGCTAGAAATCATATGCTATAGCAACAGAATCAATGAATTCTCACAGGGGGAAAGGGTATATTAATAGATAAATGTCCTTAGATTTTGAAAGAAAGCTGAGTTTAATATATAAAGCTTGAACACCAAATAATATTTATGTGTATAGTTACTGGTCTACCACTAAGGTTGTATTATTATAAAATTTTCTTATTATTGCTAAAGTTAGAGACTTATTTGCATGCCCAGAGTTTCAAAGAAGCATTAAACCTGTAGCATCAAATATCATTTTCCTCATGATTTTTATTGTATTTTTCTTTAAGAAAAAAGGGAGAATATTTAGACATTTAGAGGTTTATACTCCATTTCCAACAAGTTGCCATAAGAAATTATAGAAAAAATAATTTACATTTTTTAAAAAATTAAATCAACCACTGTAAATTGTGACATTATGCTTGGTGAAAAGTATCTATGAATTCTCTGAAGCCATGACAATCATGTTACATCAGTATCACACACACACAAATACTTAAATGGTCTGCAGAAATCTTTAACTTTAGGAAAAATACAGTAATCTATAACATTCTCAGTATGCAGTGTAAAATTTAGGATTATACATTACAAAACACAATCTATGTATTATATAATATGAAGCATAACTTATTTTATCACACTTTATTACAAATATTGGGGTTAAATGATTGTCCTGAATAAGCTAAACGAACGAACTACCCCCCGAGATCCGGATGATTCCGGATCTCCTTACTTTCCGCCGCGCCCTCAAGACATGGCTTTTCCAGCAAGCGGGA